AAATGTTGGACGAAGTGCTGAAAGAAATATTACTCGTAAGGATATAAGTTTTTGGTCAGTACCTAATTTGAAGAAGCTCACAGATGTGGATTGCGATTGCGACTTTTATCAGCGTTCCATAGACACTCTAGATGATACACCGGTCAATTCGAAGGAACTCCTTAAAGGAAAGTTTCCTTGTTGTGGAAGTAGGTACTTCGCCATTTATCGGTTTCTGCCCCTAACTAAAGTATTTCATATGTTAGACAATAGCCTCCTTGACTTATCTAATCAACAGCTTATACCATACCACTTATTAATATGGTTTAGAGTTGATCACGTAGGTACATGGGTTGCGTCATCAATTCAGTTGGTTGATTACTGTTACCGTTCAATTTCCGTTTTCGCCACTCCGAAGACTAGCTCTCGAATAATATTAACAATTTATTTATTTATTGTTGGAATAAATGGACGAACGTAAAGTCATAATTATTTATTATTAAACAATTTAAATTCTATAAAACAAATAAATACACTAAACAAAACAAGAATAAATTCAACTGTACAACACTTACAAGTAAATACTAGCGAAACAAACTAAAATAAAATAAAAACTTACGTTTCTAAATTACTAGCTACTGTGAAACTCCTACCGTAGGTATGTCCCGTAACTTTCCACAATTGTAGTATCCATTTTATTTATTTGTCAATGTTTAAACATCGGACTTTAGACTCAAAGAAATACAATATAAAAGAATTTGGACAATAATTCTTCTTATTCTTCTGGTTATCTCCTAAAATTTCTTCCGTCTTATTTTTTACCCTTCTCATTCTGACTCCAGTTGAAATGTTTGACGCATGTAAAGTTAAGCTATTTGTCCTAAAATTCTCATAACTATCCACGCCTCTCTTTTTTTTGCAGAGACCCTTTCTCCGGTATGGCCACGACCTTATTTCGTTTGTTATAATCGATAATTTTCTTCGTCTCATAAATGTGAAAAACTGACTTAAACAAGCAATCTCTGACCTTTTGAATTGTATGTTTAAAACGTACCTGGTATCTTACTATTCCTTAAATATTTTAAGGCTAACTCGAACTCGTCTCTCATCTGGTCATCTCTTCTCTCTCGTTTTCTAACAAAAAAAAAAACTCTACTACCTTACCCTATTTCTCTAAAATTCCTTTTAATTATTTTGTAAACTCTGCCAATTTTACCTACTTCAAACTTTTCCTCTACTTATGTACTCCTATTATCTATCCACTGCTACTTAGCCGCCTAACACTTTAGAAGGATTTCCCGTTTTATCGCCCTTATACGTTACATTTTCATCTTTCACCTATTAATTTCATCCGATTCAGTTCCATTCTATCTGTATGTGCCTATCACGTTGAGGTTGGCTACGCCAGGATTCGTTTTCAGCAAGTAGATATCCACACAAGTGGACCTTGTTGAAAAATACGTAATCCTAAAATGTAGCATCGTGCTACAGATGGCGTTCACTGTGCCGTTTGTAGTATTTTCACTTGGTGTATGTTTCACAAAATTAATTGTCATCACTCTAACATATATGTATGTCTTCTTATTGACTTCCATAGAGTCCTTTGTTCTCCTGTTCTTTTTATTACCTCTTCATTTCTAACCTTCTCTATTCACGGTATGCTCATCATTCGCCTGTAGCACCACATTTCGAACGCTCGGAGCCTTTTCTTTTCCACCGTGCCCACTGTCCATGTTTCGCACCCGTACAGCGTCGTACTCCAAACATACAAACTCCGGACAGACTTTTTAGAAATTCTAAATTAAGCCTTCGTGAGCATAGAAGTGACTTCTTTTTATTGAAGGCGATTTGACCCTGCGCTATCCTCTGCTTTATATTCCTACTACTCCTTCCGTCCTGACTTATCTGACTTCCTAGATACTTCTTCTAATTTTTCGTCTCCTATCCTATTTTAATTTTATTTATTTTCATCAGCACTATTCTGTCAGTACCACATCCATTTTATTGAAAACAATCTGTAACTCCTCCTTGCTAGATGCTAATACTGCTATATCATCTGCAAATCTCAGCATACTAATCTTTTGCCCCTGTATATATATATCCCTACAGTTATACTGTCTTTAATGATGTTGATCGCGTCTTTGTTGTATAAATTAAAAAGTAGCGGTGGAGAAAATTATTACTTATCAACAACACCTTAGCCTAGTAACCTACAGTATATATAACATGGACAGTACCTAGTTAGCGAGTAAATTCTATCATAACAGTATTATATGAAAAGTATAATGCAAAGATACAACGATCGGTGGCTTTTGAATCATTTTTTGTAATGTAATAAGCTACTCAACATATTTAATAATCAATTTTTCCGATGTTCGATTTCAAAAGCTCGTGCAACAGCTAAACTAAGCTGGTACATTTCCAATACGGTTTTTGACTTAAAAGTCTCAGACGGTAGATAATTATAAAAAATGTATTTATTTAACAAAATAAAAAACTTGTATAGAATTGTTGTACATGCGGGAAAATGATAAAAATTATCTTATCGACCATTTTACATCTTACAGTTGTAACGGTTTCTATAACTTCCGAGTGGTAGTTAATCGTTTACACGAATTTGTCCTGTGCCACCAGTCTAATATCCAAATTTCGAGTTGATTACAGATAATTTGAAGTGCCTCAGAACCGAACAAAGTTTCGAGAATATTATTAGATTGTCACTTTTACAATGGATATACACTAAACCAGATTAATAACTTTCTGGGTATTCGTGAAAAAAAAGGAGAAAAAAAAATACAGCAAAAAGGTAACAGTCAAACAAATTAACTGATGATAATAAAATTAATTTCACTCGTGCAACTTTAGGCACCACTATACCCTCGAATTACAGAGATTGAAAGAACGTAATGTGTTTGAACTTATTAATGACGAGGATGGGTGCCATCATGGTGTTATTAAATGACTACAAAGATGTGGAAATAAAACTTAGAGATAAAATACATACTCACATACTTCCAGGATTGAAACGAATGAATTAAAGGCCGATGAAGAGACTCCTGGAATTACTGGGCTGTCAACTTCAACCCCATAACAGATTCTAACATAAAATTTCAAATAAAGGCAACCCAAATTTGCCATACTTAACCTAATTATTTCTTTTCCGCAAGTTTAGCAGTCTTACAGAGTTGTGCTTCGAATATCGAGCTTTTATAATTTTCTTTGATAACAATATTTACTTGTTAACTATTTAATTTTAAAGACTAACTAAATTATTGTCACTTGCATGTAGGCAACCCAATAAACAGTGTCATGTGTGGGCAACCCAACATATATATAGTCACAAAGAATATGACACGTTCTGGATCTTTCTAGAACAAGATGTTAGAGATCATAAAGCGTCATCAGATGGTTTCTAGGATAAGCAGCTTCTCCTATCATTTGTGTGAATGTGTGCTTATGTTAGAAATATAGGATTGACGACAAGTCAGGAAGAATAGTTAGTTAGGATCTAATTCGAACATTAGAACACTATAAGTGCAATCCGTATTTCTTTTGTGTTTTGTTAATTTTTGTGAAGTTTTGAAATCCACTTTTTTAATAAATTTCACTAATTAAACTCGACTAAATTTTAATTAGCCCTTTAACACAAGGCCATCTCCTACTGGCAGTACAAATATTTGTTGACAGAGTCAGCTACCGGAGAGACTTCACCAATCCATGGAGAACGTAACGTAGAAATTACAGTTGGACTTTAGTTGGGATTAGTAAATATAGTTGAATCGAACAATCAAGACTTGGCACAGAAAGCATTATTGATGGGACATACGCTCGTAAAAAGTGGAACATAATCGATACCTGTTTTTGTCCTGTCATGAGACTACGATGAACCTTCGTCGACCACTTCCATCTTTAAGAAATTAGCAGCTGCAAAATTGAAACTTAGTCCCAAGAAATGCATCCTATTTAGAAGAGAAGCCATATCATAACACCGAAATGAATTATGACCGACCCTGACAAAACTGATGCCGTACAAACTTGGCTCATACCAAAGAATTGTCACAAACATAGTAACTTTCTGGGACTTTGCTCCTACTAACGAATATTCACATGAGGATTTGCCGATATAGCCCGTCCACTACACAGATTTACAGAAGGTGGAGTTTTATTCCAATTGGTACCCGAAAACAAAAAGCATTTGAAAATCTGAAGATTACACTCTCTGAAGTCCCAATCTTGACGTACTCAAGTTCAGCAAACACTTTGTCGTTGATGCCAACGTTAGTAATGTGGAACTTGGTGATGTTATCCCATGTACAAGAAGAAAAGGGAAAGGTCATCAACAAGAACCAAGTTATTGTCATTCGTCGAGAGCTACTGGCTGCGGTTAAAATTCTCGAGCATTTTCACAACTACCTGTATGGGCGGAAGTTCCTCTTAGGAAAGGATCACGCCTCCCTGAAGTGGCTAATGCAATTCAAGAACCCAGAAGAACAAATTGCACGATGGTTACGACTTCATGGATACCAGTTCAGCATTGAGCATCGCCTTTTTATTAATTTGTAAAAAGTGAAGTTGAACTGCAAAGAGTATTACAAGTGGTCGAAGGAAATCGTAAGTTATATCCCAATGCAAACAAATCGAATTTAATACGTACTTTGAATAAATAATAAATGATTTTAAACTNCTGTACGGGTGCGAAACATGGACAGTGGGCACGACGGAAAAGAAAAGGTTAGAAGCGTTTGAAATGTGGTGTTACAGGCAAATGATGAGGATAGAGAAGGTTAGAAATGAAGAGGTATTAGAAAGAATAGGAGAACAGAGGATATTATGGAATTCAATAAGAAATAGGCGGGATAGGTTAGTAGGACACCTTCCCGGACATGAAGGCCTAGTCGGAGACATATTAGAGGCAGAAACGGGAGTTAAGAGGGGTAGAGGTAGACCTAGATTAGATTACTGTTCGCAAATAGTTAGGGATGTGGTTGTTTTAGTTTTAGGGAGATGTGAAGATTAGCTTAGGATAGGAAAGTATGGAGGTACGTGTCCAACCAGTCTTAGGACTGACAACCTTATGATGATGATGATGATGATGATGATGATAATGATGATGATGATGTATAAAAACACTTACCCACGAAAAGGGAAACTAAAGTTGTGAACAGGAAGATCTTCATGCTTACACGTATACGTAACTACCAAAAAATAAATGGCAGGGTATTTATAGTGTTTGTATCGGTGCGTACATGACGTTTTATCAAATAAAAAACACAAGGCGATCTAAAGATAAGTTTTTTAAATCTTTTTTGTAGTTGATTGAAGTTTAATTAAGTACATTATATTATGTATTATATCGTCCACATAGAAAAACCAGGAGCGTATCCAAAGGTTATGTAAAAGGGGTACTCGCCTTAACCGTACCCCCGCCTACAAGCAGTAACACTTGTTTTAAACTTTCAAAATATTCTAATT